GCATTATTATATTGCATGCCAAATTAATTAAGATGTAATTAATGGAGGTTAGAAATTATTTTCCTGTTTGTTGCGGAATGAATATTTCCTCGTTTTTATTTAATTAATAATCGGAACATTTGCCATGGTATCGCATAGTACGGTGTCCTTGGACACAGAATTAAGAAAATTGAGGCCCGCCGAATTGTACACACTTGGGCAAATACTGAATTTATCGGATTCATGGAAAAAATTAATGGCAATCGTTCCAAAGGAAGACGATTGTAATGTTCCAAAATTCAACACTGAGCACTTCAGGTATAATTGAATAATCCTTACCCAAGAAAATGGACCAAGAAAGAAATCTAAGAAGTACTTTCTTACAGTATGATCGAACAGGCTGCACAGCAGCAAAAGAGGAGTGGAGCAGAAATATTTTTATCCGAATGGGGAACGATGGGTAAACGAAGACCGACGCTGCGCGTTTTGTTAGATCTTCTAGTAAAAGCAGAATTATTTAGAGCAGCTGATTATTTAGCAGGAGATATACTGAAAGGTATGATATATGAAAGGTCTCTTCAAGTTTCTGGTATCTCACACTCCTCCTCTTTTGTAACAGAGGAACTTCCAAAGCGACCAAACTGTGGACCAGCAGCACCCGTGAAGATCTCGGACGAAGTATTAAGAAATCTTGTAAGCGAGAGCGAAGAATTTGGCAATTTTAGTTTTAACGAATCGTTGATACTCGAGCTGCCCTCGGAAGTTTATAACAACGAAGCAGTTAATCCTAATGTAAAGGACAATAGCTCTTTGGAAAGGAATATGCAATCGACTAAATTGGTTTCTAACAAAGAGAAACACGAAAAGCATTTAGATAATTTAAACGCGGAGATGTCTGACTTGATGAAGTTCAGTAATGAACAAAGTAAACAACAAGTGTTCGAACCGCAAGAATTATCGTCGCGAGAATTGCCCGTATTTTTAAACGAATTCGAACGCAGAGCGGGAGAAGCAAAATTGAATCAAGAAGTACTTTCGGAAGAGCTTCCAGTATTTTTGAATCAAGATAGAATTTCATCGAGCAATAATTCATCGAATGATCGATCAACGAGTTCTTCGGACTCGTCAAACGTTAATAATAACGAATTGGTTTCCGCTGAGTTGCCTCAGTGTATCCTTGGACTTCGTGGGAGTGAATCTAATTCAGACAATAATTGCTCCATAACAAATAATCGGAACCTAGCCCAGAATATGCTGAATACCCAGGAGTTACCGATTACAGTTGTAGAATATAATAAGTAAGTGCCTTTCAGTTGCGTTTAATAATTTTTATCAATGTACAGAATGCAAGGTATAAGTATATATAAGAATGTATCATATACATTCCGCATTTTCCTGTTTTACCTATGAACACACATTACATTTTACGTGGCCTGTGAAGCGTGACATATGTAATATAACAAGTACAGCATTGTACAAATAAATTATAATGATGTTTTATACTTCATCTTTGTACATTTACACGTCATGTTGAAACTCGTGGATATTTCTTAATATATCGGTATGTACAGTAACAGTTCAAATCAGTTTGTATAACATCTTGCAAATGGTCTGGATCAAGTTGACGAATATAAAGGAACTCTTCGTGTATATCACATTGTGCAATAATACATAAAATGGATGTAGTGGAACGTTCGATACAGTAGAAATATTTATTAAGTCTTAAAATTATCTAATAAAAAAATGCAAATGTATCTATGATCTATCCATCGCTGTTGTTACTTTGTTTCATAGCAAAGTAGGCGCTTTGGAGTTCTTTAAGATTGCTTTCTAACGTTGCAACCTCGTCGTATCTGCAATCGATACGGGCTTGTTTGATGTAAGCTTGAAGATTGCTCATTTGTTCGATTATGGGGTCCATAGAGGAAGGCATCATCGGAGTAACAGTAGAAGGACCCCATCCTTGTGAATGTACTATGGTCGGCTGTTCGAATACAATGTAGTTACCATTAAAATTATAGTTTTTTTTTATATTAGTTACTCGACAGACTAGTCTTACCTGATTTTCCTTCACGGAAGAACGAACATCGAGATTCCACGATTCCTTTCTTCGTTGTTCTTTCGGCCTCTCTCTTTGCTCTTCTTCCAATTGTCTTTCATAAGCGATTCGAGCTTCCAATCGTCTTTGCCGTTCATTCTGTAATTCAGCGTATCTCTCTTGGGAAGGCAAAGCTTGTACGCTTAACAACACTTCTTTCAAAAAGATCATCGCGGATACTCGAACCATGTGATGCAAATGCTGTTCCTGTGGCTGTGGAGGATTCTCCACGCATCTCGTTCCAAGTACCGATATTCTTTTGCTAATTAAATCTATATTCTCGCCTAATTTCGCGATCTTAACTCTTAAGGCTTGAGCGTCATCTAAGTTGTACGTAGATTCTCCCTCGCTGAAACATAGTTCGAAATTCGTATAGAATTCTACGAAACGTCACAAACATTCACTCTCGATCAATTAATACGTACTTCAACGATTCCCACATTTTGTTGTACATCTTCACGTGCTGCGAAGCCTCTTCCATATACGCCCTCATCTTTTCGTAAAATTGACACACGATCGGCTTATCGAAATGTTTCGCTTTCTGCTTTTCCCTCGCGTCCAGCCGATTCGCGCAATGCGTGCAGATCTTGAAATGCTGTTCATTGCCCGTGGAATCGTTGACCAGAGACAACACGCTGTTTAAACTACCGCTGAACGGTGATCTCGCCAGTTTTGTGAGACCGATACCCGCGCGTACCAAACGTTCGGAAATCGGCCGCTCGGAAGTAGGAGATACCATCGAATCGTCTTGTACAGACACAGGACACGTCATTTTTCCTAGAAGGAAACAATTACACTCACTCGAAAGTTCCTTATTTGATTGTTTCTATCAATGATTCAGCGGATTACCAACTTGCATCTTGTAAAGATAGAAATATTGTACAAGTGTGACACATAACAGCTCCGCAAAGTCTGCAATGGTGTTTTCTTCGCGCAACGTGGAAACTCTTCGCGCAAGTAGGACACAGTTTCACGTCCTTCTCGTCTATCCATGGGACTATCGTGCATTCGTGAACTGTCAAAAAATGATATGTAACTTTCATTCACGGACTATTGGGAATGAGAATTGTACCTTTCCTATCGATAGGATCTGCTGGTAAATTGTTCAGTAATTTGTCTAGTCTTATGAGAAGCTTATTCGTTTCCGAGGAATATCCCTCCAGTCTTGCGTTTCTTATTTCTTTAAAGTATACTGTATGCGATCTTGTTGCTCCTGGAATTATTAGTTTCTTATAATATCAGTTTTTTAGGCAATACGTCTGTGGCGTGAGTGAGTACCAATTTCTTGTGGACCCCAGTTAAGCTCGGGACTGCGTCTCGTAGTCGACGTTGGTATAGTACTTGTAAATGAGTCAGACATGTCATCTTGCTTCAAGATCTTTTTCTTAGCTTTGCCGAAAAGATCTACGAGGTAGAACTCATTAATTGACTGTAATGTCCCTTAAGTAAGATGCGTGAAAAAAATTCATGCTCGTACCTTTAAGCGACTTTAAGATCTCTGGATCGTCGTTATGAAAATCCTCGAAATGTTTCGTTAATTGATTAGGTGCTTTGAAATCTGTCATACATATCGGGCAGATGAATCCCTCGAGCACTTCCTCGCTACCAGCCATCGTGAAATATGCTGTTCAAAAAACTTTCTCGTAATCTGTTTCAGCTTCGTGAACGATGTAAATCATTTGTAGGCGTCTCTACGACTGTAATGCGACAACGTGTTTTCTCATCGGCCATATTGAACGCTATCAGCTGATGGAAATGTCAAATGCCTCTAATCCCTAATCGATTAATCCTCCGACTACTAAAACGTGAATTTCGATGCCGGAGTCATTTGTGACTCTGACCTACGTCAATATTTCACTAATGCATATATTTTCGATCCCCTCCACACTTGTACTTGAATTCGTGAAAGACGAGATACCTCACATACACGTTATCCCTCTTGTGCGAATCGCGAAACCTGTGACCTCGATTGACCCCAGCACAGTGGACCGAGGATCACCCTGAATTTAAGGAAGGAATTTAAGGAACAAATGAAATTCGTATCACTAGATCGTAAATATATTTGTTAAATGTACAAATTCCTAATCACTATAAATATATAAGAAACAATACAACTGATATACAAATGCTTATCAGGTAATTAGAAATGATGATCTGATCTCTGCAGAGATCTCATCATAAAATAAATTTCGGCGTTTGCGATCTTCATTTCGCAACGGCCAGTTCGAATAGTTTATCTCCCAGAAGTCTGAATTCTTCTGATGCCTCGCAATGTTGCAAAAGATTGGGACTAATTTTTCCTTCTCCGTAAAATGCGCCAGCAATCGCGCCAGTCATGCTGCCAATGGTATCCGTATCACCACCTAAACTTATCTGGAACATGGAAGTTATCCTGAGTATATGTTTATAACTTTCAACTGCGACTCGTGTAAACGAACTTACTGCATACTGGACTGCTCTTCTGAACGGATTCTCTGTTTGTATCCCCCTGATGGGTTTCTGTGCTCTCAAGAAGCAAAATATTGCGGTAGGAACGGAGTACAAGGCTGCGACACTGTTCCCCAGTTTTTGGACAACTTTCTCATCGTACGGTTCAGCTCCTTCGCCCTCGGCTACTAATGATTTAACTATGTTCAACTGCACTTTGTACGGCTGCGGTTCCGACAAGCCTAAACTGGAAAATAGGAATTGTCAAACGAAAATGTCTATAGTAATCATTGTAAGTATATATATTATATATAAGCATACCCTTCTTCGTCTTTCTCTATTTTATCCATTTTGTCAATCAGATCGTCAATAAAGTTGTTCACATTCAATTCCTCGTTGGGATCCAAATGGAGGCTTTGATAAATCGCACTCGCCTACAGAAAGATGTACAACTTAAAATATTATAATAGATGCACAGAGCGTATTAAGTGTAATTACTTGTAAAATTGCTCCATCTACTCCAAGTTTGTTTGTGTGAGTGATTTCAGATACACTCTTAGCTACTTCCACGAGTTTGTCATAATTTTGGTAACAGAATAATGCAACAGGTGAAATTCTCATTGCTCCACCGTTTCCCCAGGATCCTTCACCCCCAAATTGTTCCTTGGCTGGAGATAGAACGTCTGTACATTTATTATTCCGTAATTTTTGGAAGACCTTCAAAGTAATTCAAGCTTAAGGATTGTAATGAATTTCACCACGTGTTCAATATCATACCGTAAGGACACCGATCGCATAGCCACGATTAGGCTCTTGGTAATAGCTCTTAACAAATCTTTTCGCGAGATCAACTATGTCCAATTCTCTGCGTTCGACCAAAGATTTAGCCAGGGAATAAGTCATAGCAGAATCGTCTGTAAACTGCATGAGAGGGGCTGTAGAATTGAAAGAAACATGTAATAAGTCAGCAAATTTTCATTATAAATAATCTTATAAACAACCTTTAAACGGAGGACCCTCCAATTTGTCAAACGACCTTTGCAAAACCAATTTCGTTCCATCCGACAATTTATCGCCGTTGTCATAAGGGCTACCAGTGCAATCGCCGACCAAAGCACCCAGCATCGAGCCACGAAATTTACTTCTCAACATAGACAGATCCATCTTTGCCATAACCCTAACTTGAAAGTTCCTCAGATTCGCATACACTTTAATACAAGATGGAATTATAGAAAATATCGAGATTAATTGAACAACACCCGAGACGTGTAAACAATATAAAAATTGGTTTATACATAGACCAACGTAGACATTTACTTGTTTATGATGATTATAAACGAAACTTGTTGCCTGATACACACATGAGATGTCTCTACAGTGTTCCGAGCTTGCGGGACACCCCACCATAAGCTTCACGGGATATAAAAGGAGAAACGACGCTGAGTGGCAGCAGTGCGGCCGGCGTCGCGGCGGCGGATGGTTAATGGAAGTAGATTTTAAATTTGATACCTGATGAAATAACTACCCCTGTTCCAGTCCCGCCATCTTTCGACGAATCACGATTAAACGAGCTTAAACAATCTCTTATTTTTCATTTCATTAACTCTGGTATCGAGATTAAATTTGTTCTTATTAAAAGCGATCTTACATAGTACCAGATCTCGTC